TGGCTATTTGCCCTGAATATCGTTGATTTTTTTTTTATTGTTGTTGTTACTATTGTTATTAAACATGGGAACTACACATGACAGACATCTTAATTAGTTTCCCAAGTAACAAAAAAGCCATGTGAAAAGTAATTATATTTAACTAATAAGTGAACGTTCCTCCCAGAAACTGTGTGTGAAGCCAGAGACTGTTTTCTTGGATAGGGCACTTAAGTGTAAGGTATGGGGGTCCTCCCCCAGAAGTTTGAGCATTAAACACTTAATTTCCTGCATTCTGGTGAAAATTTCTGCTCCAATTTCTGCCTTTTCTGCACCAATGTATAGTGTTAATGTCTTATTATATAAAGGGAAACACAAAATTCAGGTGGCAGGTGACATTTCAAAATATATAAATATAATAGAATATAATGTAGTGAGGCTCTCAGGCATTCTTTATTGCTTTTAAATATTTTTCTCCTGTAGATCAACTTATTTAATTTCATCCCTGCTGAGTCAACACACATTACCTCTTCTTTTGGCTCTTTTGTGGGGAAGTAACCTATTTAAATGTGATTGTGGCCCCTTTTCATCTCAGTGATAAATTAATCCGTTTTTATTCAGTTATTGACTGGACTTTATTAGCTCATCTGTTAATAACTTATCTGCTCATGTTCAAAACATCTGTACATTCAGAATCTCTCCCACGTATCTGTTATCTGACATGTAAAGAAAAGAAAGTCACAATAGACTAACGTCATTAGCCTATTTAAAGAGAATTCATAATATTTTACTACATGCCCTATACTGCATTACATTACCGTTTTGCTTGATGTATCCTCTCAACCGTCTAACAGACACAGAACTGGATGAGACGAGGAGGTGCTCATGCTGAGGGAAAACGAAACTATCTGACAACACCTGTGATCAAGCAGAAATCTTATGAATAATTCTACACATTACCTGTGCTGCTTACAATCTCCAACAGAGAAAGTCACATTTTTATAGCCTACTGAAACTACTGTATATGTTCAGTTTGACACAAACTGTCTGCGACTCACAGTGTGAGGTGGGTCCACGTCACTCGCTGGTGTTGCAGCGAAGTTGTTTTCAGGGTCCGACAAGTCCGACAACGGAATATCCCTCTTGTAAATGTGTAACCACTGCGATAAGATGTTCACGGTGTATTACTCAGAAATAAACACCTCTAAGTCCTAACTTAATGATGAGTGCAGCTTAAAATGCTTTTTAAGTCCATTTGGTGTCATAATGTTGAGTGTGTTTATCCAAAACATTTCTTGACAACATCATCACCTCAAGTAGGCATCGTACTGTCAATCCCACAAAAGTTTAACAGGGGTCATTTGGTTTGTCCAAAATATGCTAGACCACAGGGACAACAATCCAAACCAGACTTGTTTCTCTACTGAATATAATCATTGTGCTTCACAAATAAGACACTGGGATGTGCATCAAGCAGAACCATCTTTGAAGGACTTCTGCAAATCTTCATCCCTGTCTTATTCAGGAGAGCACAACGTACAAAAATATGACTCAAATAAATTTGTTCAGTCATCCCCACATTGGGGACATTCGTATTTGGGAATTTATAAACTGTTGACTCTTGTGATTTACATGTCATTATATCCTGTGATGTAGCATTATGTTGGACGAACCACACAACCCCTTGAACAGCGAATATTGGAGCACAAAACTGCAATCTGTAAAGGCAGTATAGATTGTGCAATTGCAAAACATTATGCTGAAGCAGATCATGGTTAACCCTCTTTATTAAACTTTTGTGGGATTGAGAAAGTCATGATGCCTACTACAGGAGGTAATGTCAAGAAAGTGGCCTAGAGAGAAATGTTTTAAATAAACACAATAAAACACTATGACACCAATTAAAATGATTAATTAATTAAAATAAATACACTAAAGAAATTCAGCTTTTATGGAATCATAAGCAAATAAAGATAGCTAATAAAGATTGTTTAAAATAAGAAGTCCCACACTATGCAAATTTTTAAGTCAGGTAGACGAAGTAATGGAATATAAAAAAAGAACACTGAGCAAAAGCCTTTGTTTTGAATATCCCTTTGTGTGGTTTATCAACGCTGATAAATTATCTTAAAGTCCCTCGAGGTGCAGACGACACTAGTGAAGCTAGGGCTCCATCTCTTCAGCAAGTGTTCCTCTTCTGCCACTGCATGCTACGCCTACACATGCGCTTCTTGGAGGACCTGAGGAGAGCAAAATCTGTGCTGGCAGATGCTGCCACTGATGCAAGTGTCCGTGACCTGGAGGGGGTCCATGTTCGCATGCTTAAGGACAGGAGCCCTAAGGATATTTTCATGGCTGTTGAGGAGCTGCACCATGCGACCGCAGTTGGTCACTGTGAAGCTTTGAATGCAGGTAAGTTGTGATTTGAGGATAATTTATGGTTTCATAAATATGTTTAATGATATACAACTGTCATTATTTAATGATGTCACTCTGTTAACAGTTTTTCAGAAAGTTGACCTCCCAGACTGGAAGAAGAAGCTGACTGGCCTGGGTTCAGATGGAGCCCCAGTGATGGTTGGGAAACGTGTGGGGGGGGTGGGCGGTACCTCTTCTCCTCCGAGAACTGGTGTCATCCGAGAAGAGGTACCCCAACTAGGGCTGTTTCTCAATAGTCGAAGACTCGATGCTTTGATGGGGGCGGAGCCTGATTCGACTGTCAATCTCACAGTCAAAGCTTTGCAGCGAAACAAGGATTGTGCCATTTAGGCAATATCGGGGTGCTCAACATCTGATTTTCCATAGAACCACCAGTTTTCTTCCAATAAGTTAATATACAGTCTATTCCAATACACATTTGAATGTTTAATGCTGTAAATAAAACATGTAAAATGAATAAAACTTAAATGTTTTTAACAGTGCGTAAATAAATCTAAAATTGTAACCTTAACCCTGGGTTGTCAGTGCGCACGTGTAGGCACACCGTGTGTGTAGTGGCGGAAGAGGAACACTTGCTGAAAAGACTGACCCCCAGCTTCACTGGTGCTGTGACGAGTTGTCCGCACCTCGCAGGACTTCCACATAATTTATCACCGTTGATGAACCACACAAAGAATATTTTATCGTTTTTAAATAGCCGGCTTGAAATAGACCGAGGAACTGCAACGTGCATGTAGTTGGCATGCACGCAAAACTCACACAAGACCGGTGAATGACAGGCGAGAGAGAGATCTTCAAAAAGCCTCAGTTTAGCTTCTCAGAGGCCTGTATAAGCAATATCATTACTTGGCAAAAGCTCAGAGGGAGCTTAAAGTACTCAGTGAAGTCCTCCATAAGAAGGTGTGGAAGCCGACAAACCTGGGGGGGAACAAGGTGGCTCCCACATGTGGAGAGAGCTCTTCGAACACTTCTAAATGACTAATCTGTTATGTTGGCTCACATGGAGAACACCATGGAGACCCTACAAGTCAATTTTGAAACTAAGATTCATTTTGCATGTATGGGTATTGTCTGTGTCATCGAACAATTTTAACTGTGTGGTCTTTTCCAGATCGGCTAGCGCTGACATGATTGGGAGGGCGAAGCAGAAGTTGTTGTTTTTTTTTAAATAGTTTGTGAGGAGTTAGTAAAGATAAAAATAGTAACAGATAGTGATGTGTTTCATTCTTTGCAAGTTTTAAGTTTCAGGAGGATGGTGTTACACCACCAAAGGCACTTCAGGTCTTTGAGACTGCAGTGCTGATGCTTACAAGCATGTACACAGCACCTGGGGAGAGCCTTGAAGGCTTTCTCAAGGAATCAGCAGGGGGCCAGTTCCACGCAGCGCAGCTCCAGAACTTTAACAGGGAGAGCAGGGACAGATTTGACAGGTAGCAAAAGAAAATATAACAAATGGGAATGTGTTGGTTCATTTCAATAAGGCTTATTTTAATAAAGAGACGATGCTGAGCTGGCTAGCTACGGTGTAGAACATGAATCATGTGGGTTGCGACAGGGGTCAGGCACGGTACGAAGAGTGGCCCAATGCAAAGATTCTAATCAAAGAGCTGCCCCAACCCCAGCAAAGCACTGCTTTGACTGACTTTCTGGCAGACCCAGACAGACGGGAGAACTTCCCCAATCTACTGATGGTGTTTGAACTCATCCTGGTGCTCCCTCTGTCAACAGCTGCTTGTGAGCGAGGATTCAGCGCCATGAAGAGAATCAAAACCGATTGAAGGAGCAGCCGATCTGTAGAAATGCTATGGAAGCTATTATATATTAGCATTGAGGGACCGGACGTTGCACAGTTTCAGCCAGATAAGAGTTGTGCAGAGAAGGCTATCAGCAGGAGAGAGAGTACGTCATGTTTGAGTCCATTTTGTTTTAAAATGAATTATTTTGTTTCATTACCTTTTTAAATTTTAATTATTTAAATCTGTGATTACATTTGTTTAAGTTTTTTTTTTATATCCAAGATGTATTTAATAAACAAACATGTTAACAGAATAACAAGTCTTTGGTTTTGTTGTAACACTGATAAACAACTTTTGGAGGGGGGCCAGTAAAAATCTTTGGGCCAATAAGTTTCAAACTCACTGGACCGGTGGGGCCAGTTACAAAAAGGTTTAACGCTGAGCCCTGACAGTGATTACACATACTAATTTTTTCTAAAAGCATGTCCTGTTCAAAGACAATGCTACCAATATAAATACACACAGAATCAAAGCTCAGGTCTTGGGAGATTTGGCACATTTTTTCATGAAAGGAGAAGTGTTGTCCCTAATTTTTTACAATGGGGCCATGCCAATGAAGGGGACGCTTAACTGCGATGAGGAATGATAATAGCCAACAATAACTTTCACTGTACACATCATAGTCTAGCATTTTTTTGGGATAGACTACAAAAAAAAATAAACCTATCCTTTAATCTCTTTAAACCTGTCAGTTGCTTAAAGAGGCATTCAAGTTGGTTTCCCAAAGTACATTTCATATTACTTGTGGTTGATATTGACATTTCTGTGAGTACACTGAGTACTTACATTGCAGATTTTGAAGAAGTCAGTCTTCCTCTAACTGGTTCATTGCGAGGGCTCGGAGGGTCAGACGGCATCTCATGTGTACCTCATGTTCTTCCTAGATTGACAATTAAAATAATTATTGATTATATTCCATCTTGGGTTAATTAATGGTCGAAGTTGCAGGCATGATCACTCAATCATGACTGGACCAAAATAGTCACGTGACACACGTAGGACAATAAAACTGGTCCGAGGTGTATATTTACAAAATATAGGCTTATACAGCTTGCACTAACTTTAAATACAGTAATTTCGACATATACTTTACTTGGGTGGGCCGGCCAGGTAGCCTATATTAGCACATACCAAAGTATATTTGGCAACCATTTAGGCATTTTGCAGAGAAACACAGAGAGAGAGAGATTTTATCTGAAAAATAAAGGGGACACGGACTACAATGTGCTTAAGTGTATTTTCATACTTTATAGACGATCGGTTCACTATTTATAAATGAAGTATTTTAATGACAAACCATTTATATTTGAGTTGTTAATGGTTCACAAGTTCATTTTTTGATACTTTCCCGAGAAAGAATATAAACAATCTCAGCATAACGTGTAAATCTTCCAATGGCAAAGCCCAGAGGATGCTACCAAGACTACCAGAAAGATGCCCCAGCTAACATTACTGGATAAAGCCTCACCGTTACCTGTTCTCACTCCCAAGTCGTCACATATGGACGAATGGTCAAGACCCCTTGTCACTTTATAATGCACTTGGGAGCCCTGTAGCATAGTTTTTGAATGCTAAAGACAGGTGTAGAATATTTAACACTAGTGTAGCGCTTTAGCTAACTTACCAACCTAGGTTCTGAGGAGTAGTGTAGGGGTAAGAAATAGACTGTGTGTGATTAAAGAACAGTGGGCAGGTTATTACAGTGCCTTTAACACTCTCATAGTAGAGGTGCTCTGATCAGGATTCAGGAAGCCGTATCGGCCGATACCGATCACCAATCACCGAGTTTAATTGAAGCCTTTTATTTATCATGTAGCATTATACAGTATACTGTATATTTATTTTATTTAAAAAAAGTTAACAGATGATAAAGTATCAGGAAAATTTAAATAAATAAAAATAGGCTACAATGTAAATTCCATATTATACAGTCAATTGTTAATATTGCATAGGCTACTATATTCATTATTATTTCTTATGGCTTGCCATTAGTAGGCTATAGGCCTTTTATAATTTCAGTGGATTGTTTTCATTTTTAATCCTTGCGCAGGAAGCACAGTCTACATATCTTACATGCTGCCACCGTCTTTACCAGAGGAGAGAATAGCAAATACTTTAAATACGGCCAAAAGGTTTATTTGATTTCATAAAGGTTAAAAATACGGGAGATTCGCGGGGAAACATTTAACGAGTGGAACGGAAAAATATGGGAGAATCTCGTGGAAAATGGGAGGGTTGACATGAGAGAAGTAGAGAGAGGAGTGGGGTAATTAATGAAAACAATCTTCTTCGTCTACAGCAGCGTTTCAGCTGCGTATCAGAGTTGATCTCTGTCTATATTAGAACGACTGAAAACACACATCTAGTGGCCGTTCAGGTAGCTACACTGGGCATGCGCGTACCAGTGTAAACATGAAGCAGATGGTCTACTCCGCAGTAGCAGACGATTTAGCGAAAGAACAAAGTAATACAGACCAAGAACTACACCAGGCTTTATTCTTCTTTTTTTTGCACTTACCGACAACGAAGTGGTACTGTTACTGAAAGTAACACGGGAGTACGAGAGACGGCGGTGGAAAACAGACTGGGAATTGTCGCAAAGTAAATACATGATGCCATGATCGGCCGATTATGATCGGTAACCGATCGATTGGAGCACCCTTATCTCATAGTACACTAACCATGTTTTAAACAATCCCCAGAATAAGAAGAGCTCTTTCATAAAAAATACAATTTTAAAAACTATCCAGTGTCTTTCAGTCATTCGTATCTCTACCTGGGCAGGATAATGGATGTGTGGTGGATCTTTCTTATCTGCCAGTGTCCTGTAATCTGATGTGTCAGTCCTGTTGAATGGGATCCGAAGCAGCTGGCCACACCGCTGTCCGATCTCATCGTATAGGGTGCATCATCTCTGGGACTGGCTCAACATTTGCATCCAGCGAAGAGTTGACCTCTAAGCTACAATCCAGGGTCTCAAAAACCAGTCCGCACATTTAGTACAGAATAAATCAGATAAGTCATCACAGTCAATGTTCAAAAAAGATCACACCCCGTTTGTCAAAACTCAATCATCATCACCTTGTTGTCTAGGGATTCTTCTTAAATGTCCAGTGTGTAATATTTCTGAGGTTCTATTGACAGAAATGCAATATAAGATCCATAACTATGTTTTCAGTGGTGTATAAAGACCTTACATAATGAACCATTGTGTTTTTATTACCTTAGAGACATTTATATCTACATAACCGCGGGGACCCCCTTCTATGGAGGTCGCCGTATTTTGTCATCATGTTTCTACCGTAGCCGTCAACGAACAAACAGCGCTACAGAGCGCGTTTCGTTTCGTCATCACGGCGTTCTTCTGCTTGTGTAATTCCGGTAGTGTAGACGCCCGTCACTACATTGAATATGTACAAAGAAGAAGAAGAGGGACTAATAATAATATTAATAGTAATATACAGTCTCCGAGTAGTCTTCTGGTTTATTAGAAGTAAGAAGAGAAGTGACATTTGGACAACTGAAGGAGCACACGCGTGTTATTTAGGAGGAGAGCTGACAGCCAGACGGAGTCGGGACAGACAGCTGACTGCAGAGGCTATAACGTTAATGTGGGACAGATGTTTTCAAAGCGGTGCTGAAGTTGTCTGTTTTCTGCTGGACAGGTAATTAACTTTGTCAGACTTGAAAACTGTTGTTTGATAGCTTTAGCTAGAAGCTGGCCATAATCACAGAGAGCCATGTTTCCCCTGTCAGTGGTGTAAAATATGGATTAATTTCATGGCGCCTACTTATTCTCCAGCCTGTGGTTTGGTTTGCCGGTTACTTAGCAATCAGCTGATCAGTAACCTTAATTGGCAATAAAACCGTAACGTTAGCTTAGAGCATGGAAGCATCAGCCAGCTAAACTTTTACTGACTGGTAGAAAAAGTATTGTTAGTTGGATTGGTTTATTCTCCAGCGCTGTGCTTTGGCTTGTGGCGTTATGTTAGTTGGATTAATTTCATGTAGTTACTCTCTCTCTCTCTCAAGCCCTCTGTTTTTGGCTTTGTATGTTAAGTTGTGAGAATCAGCTGATCGCTAATTGACAATAAAACCGCAGCTTCCAGCATGGAAGCTCAGATTAGCCATCTTAACTTTGAAAAAATATGTAGTTGGATTGTAATTTCATGTAGTTCTTCTCCAGCGCTCTGTTAAGGCTTTGTTACCTGGACAGAAATGCAATTCGCAACCTTCACCACTAGATGTCACTAGAACTTACACACTGAACCTTTAAGTTTTACATTGTTATACCAGAGATTTATAACTTTGGCAGGTAGCATTTAAGCAAGACATCACTACTATGAATTGATTAAATTTCTCCGTATCTCAGCATTACATGACAATCAAAAAATACTGAACAGAGTTTACACATTTTAGGCAAGGAAATTACCTTTAACATGTATTATCATAAATAATGTAAATAAAAATAGCTCTGAAGGTATTACATGTGCTTACACAGCCAAAGGTACCTCCAGAGATTAGTTTGAAACCACGACACAACAAAATACTGTTGAACACTTCACGACATCGCGTTCACAACATCCTCCGACTGCTTTTAACCTGCAGTATATAACGTTATGGTTTTAACCCACCCATTTAAGCTAGCATCACGCTGCACTTTAGCTCTCTCCTAAAGGTTACAAACTTTACTCACCGGAGTTTCCAAGGAGAAAAAAAAACAACTCCTTCTGAAAATGGCGGCATTCAAAAACCCCGAATGATAGTGTTTTTACACTTAAGCCGCTTCTGGGCGCGTGGGATCTCGTTTTTCCAACTTAGCCCGCTTCTCTCTGTTCTTCCAGTGCACACTGCAGAGACTACTGGATGCGCCGAGGGTCAAAATAGTGATGCCCGTATTTTTTACGTGGGCTACAGTCTATGGTAAGGAGGAAACGTGGTTGAGATGGGTGGCTTGACCAGAAACCATACTTTTTACTTTTTTGTTTACTGTGTTAAACACAAAGTATATATTAATAATGATGGTAATAATAATATTGAGGGTTTTTTATTCGTTCGCTTATGGATCGCAAGAAACTTTCCGTTTCAAAACGTTATTCACTAGTTTAATTTTAAAGCCTAACCGGACGTTGCGTATTTATTGTTGCTAACTTGACCGCCGAGACGTCCAAAAACAACACTAAAGGGGTGTTACCAGCCGTAAAAAGACTGAGACTTAAAAAGCCTAACCGACTTTTTTCAGTCTCATTTCTAATGCTTTGTATGGCCTAGATCAGTGGTTCTCAACCTTTTTTGGGCCAGCGCCCCCCTATCCATTATCCAGGTCCTTTACCGCCCACCATCAAAAAAGATGTTTGCTATTTATTTATATTGTTGATTTTTTTTATTGTTACTATTGTTATTAAAAACATGGAAAAGGTAACAAAAAAGCCATGTGAAAAGTAATTACATTTATCTAATAAGTGAATGTTCCTCCCATAAACTGTGTGAGAAGCCAGATACTGTTTTCTTGGATGGGGCACTTAATAAGTTTGAACATTACACACTTAATTTCCTGCATTCTGGTGAAAATTTCTCCTCCAATTTCTGCTTTTTCTGCACCAATTTATGGTGGAAATGTAATGTTAAAATAAAAAAAAATTAAAATTTTTATAGCCTACTGAAACTACTGTAAATGTCCGCTTTGGCACAAACTGTCTGCGACTCACAGCGCGAGGGGGGTCCACGTCACTCGCTAGTGTCGCAGCGAAGTTGCTTTCAGGGTGAGTCTGACAGTGGAATATCCCTCTTATAAATGTGTAACCACAGCACAACACTTACAATTTCCAACCACCAAACGCCCCCCAAAAGAAGCTCAGCGCCCCCCTTTCCAAAATATCACTTCCAGCGCCCCCCGATCGTCCTCGGAACGCCCCCTGGGGAACGGTACCGCCCCCATTGAAAAACACTAGCCTAGATAGTCCTTACTTAAGAGAGAAAATACTTATTAAATAATTTCCTTAAACTTTCTACACGATCGTATGAACTATAGGCGCATATAGTTTTTCATTGGAAAAATACTTTTTATCAAATACAATCATTATGCACAGGGCAGCACGGTGGTGCAGTGGTTAGCACCTCACAGCAAGAAGGTTGTGGGTTCAAACCCCGGTTGCTCCGGCCTTTCTGTATCGAGTTTGCATGTTCTCCCCGTGTCTGTGTGGGTTCTCTCTGGATGCTCCGGCTTCCTCCCACCCTTCAAAGACATGCGGACTAGGTTAATTGGTGACCCTAAATTGTCCTTAGGTGTGAGTGTGAGCGTGAGTGGTTGTTCATCTATGTGTGGCCCTGCGATGGACTGGCGACCTGTCCAGGGTGTACCCTGCCTTTCGCCCGATGCCAGCTGGGATTGGCTCCAGCCCCTCGCAACCCTGTACACAGGATAAGTGGTTGACGATGGATGTAATTATTAAGCACATCAATGATGAACTGGTAGTGATAGATGATCTGTCTCAGAGATATGGTATCAGGCCTGTAACGGTGAGGCTTTTCCACGCCACCAGTAACATTAGCTGGGGCATCTTCAGGTAGCATCCTTTGGGCTTTGCCACTGGTAGATTTATGTGTTATGCTGAGATTGTTTAGATTCTTATGAACCATTAACAGCTCATATATAATTGGTTTGTCATTAAAATACTTCATTTATAAATAGTAAACCAATCGTATGAAGTATGAAAATACAATTATTAAGCACATATTGATGAGTTTATTAATAAAGAATACAACATATGTTTATAAATGACTTACTAATGTGTATTAACATAACCTCATCAGGCTCATCTCTGGTGAGTCCGCCTGCAGGTGGGAGATCGATCATCTGGTGACCTGGTGCAGCCAGAACAGTCTGGAGCTCCACGCTCTGAAGACAGTGGAGATGATTTTAGAAAGAGCCCAGCCCCCCCCACCCCCATCATCCTGTGTGACTCCTCAGTCACCACTGTGGACTCCTTCCGCTTCCTGGGCAACATCATCTCCCAGGACCTCAAGTGGGAACTGAACATCACCTCCTCCATCAAAAAGGCCCAGCAGAGGATGTACTTCCTGTGGCAGCTGAAGTAGTTCAGCAGCCTATTGTATCTTTTTATATTTTTTGTATAAATTTTTTTTGATCTCCTTACTTTTTATATATTTATATTACTATTTATGTTATGTGTACTGTAAGCACCAATTCATACCAAGGCAAATTCCTCGTATGTGAAAATGTAATAAACCCGATTCTGATTACAATGGTTCATAAATGATGAATTAAAAATGTACTAATACTTAACTGCTTCATGTAGATAAAGAATAAAACAATTATAACTGTTTATGAATGACTTACTAATGTGTATTAATGTACACTGTAAAAAAAAAAGTTTTCACAGAAACATACTTTATTATTTTCCAGATTTTTTCAGTTTTTTTAATATTACGTGTAAATGCCATTAAAATACAGAAAAATACTTTTATTAAAAACATTAACCATAAAATAAAAGTAATAATCTGTAAATTCATATGAGAAATTATAGTTTTTTTTACAGGATTATTCCTTTATTGAATTGCCTTGAATGTTAAATTACATTAAATTCTATGTAAAAAGATGAAAGAATTCACATATTTAAAATTAAGACAACAATGTGTTTTTTTTTTATGTGAAACCTTCAATTTAAGGTAAATACATGTAAAAAAAAACAATTGTAAAAAAAAAAGTAAAAAGTCTGGTAGCAAAGTTGCCAAACACTTCAACCCTCAAATTACAGTAAAAAATTTATGGAACTCGAAGAGAAAGATTCCCTGCTGACTGGCTTTATGGATGTGGCTTCAGTACAAGCCAAACAGCTTAGCAACTGCTAACATCCAGGACACCGTGCTATGGGACCCCTCTACCCTTCCAAGGCTTTCCTCCTGCTCGACTCCGAAGCATCAGTCAACCTGGGCTGAAGTGGTGGTCTGTGGCTGCAAGAGAGGCTCGGACAGGACTGCCTCTCCTCCGCGCATCATCCTCTCCAACCCCTATGCAGCCTTGTCTAACGACACTCCGGTCCATCCAGCTGATGCACCTGCGGCTTCGAGTCTCCCTGATACGGATCTCTTTCGGCGGACAGTGCCGGCCGACATTGTTGCATCTCCTCAACCGGCTACATCTCCTGCACTGGCGGCAAACGGTGATCAGCTGGGCTGTGGCTAGGCCTGATCAGCGGCCGTCATCCCGGTCAAAAACCTCCGCTTCCCGACGTAGGATCCTGAAGGAGGCTGTGCTCAGACGCTCCAGAGGCCGTCTCTACCCTGCACCGTTGGGTAGCCTTTCTCTCAGGTCTGTTACTGCTACTCTAACTCCGCTACTCAGCTCACACACTCCATCCTCAGTCCGCACGCAGTGTTGAAGCAGATTCTGCTCTGGAAACCCACAACCGGCATCTCCTCGTCCCCTTTTCTCCCCCAACCACACTAATAATTGGTGACTCCATAACCAGAAACATCCGTTTCTTTAACACTACCACTCACTGCTTCCCCGGTGCCACCACAGCTAACATTTTAAAAAACACTCCAGGACCTGATGCCATCTCTCCCGTCCTGCATCACAAGAGTGATAGTCCATGTGGGAACAAATGACACAGCTCTTCAGCAGTCTGAGCTGACAAAATCAGATTTTAACCGTCTTCTTAACTTTTTAAAGCAGTGTGGAAAGTCCGCTTTTATCTCTGGTCAACATTCCCACAGTTAGTCGCAGTGCTGGCCGATTCAGTAGACTCCTTGGCCTCCACGACTGGCTCCAGTCCGCCTGCAGGGCTCATCGTGTGTGTTATGTCGATAACTTTAATATTTTCTGGCAAAGAATGTCTCTTTTTTAAGACAGACGGACTTCACCCAAACAAACGGGGCTCAGAAATGTTAGCTGCTCACATACAGCATGTGGTGCGGTCCACACATGACTTTCGTGAATGACTAATCATTCATGCAGCACACCTGGACACACCACCGGTCACTGAACAGACCTCTGCCTCACTGCCACTGAGAACTGTCTCCACCTGCTGGCATGTAAAACTGTCTGCTCCCAGCGCTGTTCCAAAGACTTCTATTCCTGTCATCATCACGCATAGACCAGTAAAATGTGCACATCCTACACAAAATAATAGTAATCTCTTAAGGATTAGGACAACTGCACCCAGCACTCCAGCACCCAGAACAAACTCATTTAAAATGGTTCTCTTCAATGTGAGATCACTTTCAAGTAAGACTTTTATCTTAAATGATTTTATCTTGTCTGCAAATCTAGATTTTATGTTTTTAACTGAAACTCATGGTTGCAAATGAATGACTATAGCCAGCTAGCTGAACTGTGTCCGCCTCAATATGATTTTTTTAGTTAACCGAGGGTCAGTGGTCGTGGTGGTGGGCTAGTGAGCGTGTAAACGAAAAATTTTAAATGTCATCAAGTACGCTGTGATGAATTTAACTCCTTTGAAGTTCTCACTCTTAAAGTTGGAGGGCTGCAACCTATCATATTTGTTATAATTTATCGCCCCCCCAAAACTGCCTGGAGGATTTTTATCAGAACTTCCTGAATTTTTATCTACTCTGGTTTTAAATTATGAAAGAATTGTTCTTTGTGGGGATTTTAATATTCACGTTGATGACCCCACCAATGTAAATGCAAACTTTTTAAATATGGCCACTTCTTTTAACTTCAAACAACATGTCAAAGGGCAAACACATAACTGTGGTCATACACTGGATTTGGTTTTTACCCTGGGTGTCAGTATTTCCTCTGTGGAATTAGTGGACATGACCATATCTGACCACAGATGTATTGGTTTTAGCTGTGATTCGCCTGTTACTCATGCCGCCTCACCAAGCTCCGTGTGTTCTCGCATCTTTAATGAACAAAGTGTTTCAAAGTTTTGCGCATTCTTTCAGAGCCAAAGCCAACACCTGTCTGATTCCAACACCAACAATCTGGTCGATCACTTCAATCATATCTGCTTGTCGTCACTAAATATTACTGCTCCTCTAAAGGTTAGGCCTACGTCTAAAGCTAGTAAGCAACCCTGGATAAATGACAGCATTCGCAGCCTAAAAAGAGAATGCAGGAAAGAAGAAAAAATCCAGTCTCCAAGTCCATTACCTCAGTCTGAAGGATTTATTAATTAACTACAATAACATGGTTAAGGATGCGAGAACACACTATTTTTCTGAACTCATTACTCAACATAAACACAATCCCAGGTTTCTGTTTAAGACTGTGGATCAACTGGCAAACCCAACCCCCCCTTGTGCCTCAGCTGGAAGAAATGATGACTGTAAATTGTTTTTATCTTATTTTACCAATAAGGTGGTGTCAATCAGAGCCTCTATTACCCCCACAGCCTCTTACTCAGAGGTCCCTCACAAGCAACAAGAGAGTTCCATCGACTTGTCTGAGCTTTTAAAAACAGTATCACAAATGAGAGTGTCCTCCGGCCCACTTGATGTAATACCTACAAAGTTTTTACTGAAAGTAATGGATTCTGTTGGGCCCCATTTGATCTCTGTTTTCAACAGCTCCCTATCTACTGGTTGTGTCCCTGATTATTTTAAAAAGGCTTGCGTGAACCCACTTTTAAAGAAACCTGGTTTAGATCCCTCCCTCCCACATAATTTTAGACCAATTTTAAAACTGCCTTTTATTGCAAAGATTCTAGAAAGAATTGTGTCCAAACAGCTGCTCACTGTACTGGAAAATAACAAAATATTTGAAAAGTTTCAGTCTGGTTTTAGGAAGTACCACAGCACTGAGACTGCCCTGCTTAAAGTCACCAATGACCTTTTAATGTCTGCTAATGAAGGCATGTGCTCAGTCCTGGTACTCCTGGACCTTAGTGCTGCTTTTGACACCATTGATCACAACATCATATTAGACAGACTGAGGCACTGGGTGGGGATCTCTGGTACTGCCCTAGAATGGTTTTCATCCTACCTGTCAAATAGGAAGTTTTGTGTGTCTGTAAACAACTATGTCTCCTCATTCTGTCCAGTTAAATATGGTGTGCCTCAGGGGTCGGTCTTGGGACCCATTTTGTTTTCCTTGTATCTGCTTCCCCTTGGACATATTATCCATAAACATGGATTCATATTTATGCTGATGACACACAAATGTACTTGCCCGTCAGATCCACAGACCCTGGAATGCTGAGTTCACTTAACAACTGCCTTTGTGAAGTTAAAAAATGGATGTCAAATAATTTCCTCCAGCTGAACTCAGACAAAACACAAATACGGGTCACCGGGTCCCAGCAGATGGCAAAACAAATACTGCCATCTGCTGGTTCCCTAGTAAATCACATTAAGACTGTGGCAAAGAACCTTGGTGTCTGGTTTGATAGTAATTAAAATTTTGAGCAGCACACCACAAAGCTTGTTCAATCATGTTTTTATCATATTAGAAATATAGCAATAATTTGATCTATGATAACTTTTAAGGACACCAAGACCATTTTACACGCCTTCATCTCATCACGCCTGGATTACTACAACAGCCTTTTCACTTGCCAGACTGTCCAGAACTCAGCTGCCAGGCTTTTAACCAGAACAAAGAAATATGACCACATTACCCCTGTTTTAGCTTCATTACACTGGCTCCCAGTATGTTTTAGAATTGACTTTAAAATTCTATTGATCACTTTTAAAGCTCTTCATGGCCTCTCGCCTTGTTATATTTCTGACCTTTTAGTCCCATACACACCAGCACGTACCTTGAGATCCTCGGGCAGAGGTCTGTTGTCTGTTCCAGAGTCTCGACTGAAAACTAAAGGGGACAGAGCGTTTGCTGTCAGGGCCCCAAGGCTCTGGAACAGCCTGCCCGAGGAAATCAGGTCAGCTGAGTCAGTGAACTCTTTTAAGTCCCTTCTTAAAACATACTTTTATAGGAGAGCCTTTCCCGATCTTATTTGACTTTATTTTATCCTTTTTATTTTATTCTATTTTACTTATTTTATATTTATCTTAAACGTGTATTTTAGTCTTTTCAATGTTTTCTTGCTTTTATCTTGTATTGTTTTTGTATTGTTGTCTTTTGGGTATTATTGTCTTTACACTTGTTAAAGCACTTTGTAACTTTTTTATGAAAAGTGCTCTACAAATAAAGATTATTATTATTTTTATTATTATTACATTGCCATATACAGCGGAAGCCTGAACACACCACATCTTACTTCAAAACCTGACATTTATAGGCCATTTGAGGCCAAATAGATCTATTGTCTTTAGGTCTTCATGCACAGCTTACTAGTGTTTGGGCTATACATTAAAATCAAATGGTCATAAAAAAAAATTGTTGTATTCTATCTCCTATCCTGGTTCACTCAAAAAAACGGAAGCCTTGACTTTAATTATATTTATTTTTTCAACATATTCCACAAAATTGTATTAGGTTAGTTAAAAGTAAAATGTTAAGGTCATCTAACTTAATGAACTTGTATAACAGTAACACAATGATTGTCAATTGATCCAACAAAAAATAAAAAACATCTGATCAACAATATATATTTAAGCTTACCAAAATTAAGTCAGTTATGTTGTATAAACTTAATATATTACAAATTTTACATTTGTCCTTTTTTTTTGTAGTAAATATATACATTTTTTTGTAGTAAATATATACATTTATGTTGAATTAATGAAAACAAATTAGTTTAACATAATTCGAATCTTTGTCAACAGGTTCCACACAAATTCATTTCAACTTATTTTTGTTATGGACTTTATTCACCAACACGGCACTAATATAGTTAACATTTTGGTGCAATTGGTCAAAAAAATAAAATATACAGTAAAACTATTGGCACTATAAAGTGTTGAAAAGTTTGCAAAATAACGTTTAGTTGTCAACAATTTTGGTGAAGCATTGCCTAGAGTTCTATTCTACAGAACACTCAGCATCCAAATCAATGATTGGCTCATTCATAGAGTTTGTTCTTGAGCATTCTGTACCTTGGTTGAGAGTCAAAGAAGGCTTTAAGGTTCTGAGGATTAGTGAGGTTCAGTGCATATATTACACCTACAGTATTAAGATTTCACAAGCAGAGGCGATGTCTCCCAAGTCCTGCAGAACTTCAGCACCCTTGGGGACTATTCCAACATCAGCTGGAGGAGTGGTGGCATCACCTCCCTCAACACTGATGCTGTAAGGATAACCTGTCTAAGCTCCCTTGGAACATCTGTAGCATTTGAATCCTTTACATAGGACAGAAAGAAAGAAAGTAGAAAACCAAATTATGAAATTACAAACAGATTTTGCAGAATTCTAAAGAGTAATGTTTGCATTTCAGGTGTCCCTTATGTAATGATTTAATAAAAATAGCATGATACAGTGCTATGTGGGTCAATGGCATAGACACAATATTAGGAACACTTTCAGTGTTGGGCAGTAATGCGTTACTGTAATAATATTACTTTTCCCAGTAACGAGTAGTAGTACTACGTATCCTTGACGTGAATTCAACCACGAACATTTCTACATCTGATTTATTGAGGCATCTGCAGAAGCAGCACAGCAACGTGAAATATACAGAAAGAAACTCCGGCAGCTACAGTCATTGATGCTTATACTCGTCGGGAGAGAGTGGCGTCAACGTAACGTTTTGTAAAACTACTGAATACTGCTCTTATAAATAGGTTACATGTGCAGAAAAACAGCTGTTCAAACGTTGGAATTTACTTGCTTTATTTATTTATTTTTTTCAGCCGGTGGTTAGGCCTAGGCTATATGCTTTGTAAAAATCATACTCCTTACTGCTGTTATGATTATGATATTAGTTAAAAAGTCGGGAGAGACTGCTTTGTTTGGGTGTGAAGGGGGTGGTAGTGAAAGTAGTGTTTCCCATAATTAGCCTGTAATTATCAACGCTGACCGCCACATATTGATTTTTTACTAGGCGTATTTAAAATCCTTTTTTATTGAACTGAGCATATATTTGTGCAGCACCTCCTCGCTCGCTCTCTCACTCTCTCGTGAACACCGCTGCACAAACTTGTCCAAAGTTAGAATATAACCCCCCCCAGTCATTCTGTGGGAAACACTGGAAAGTAATATATTAAAGAGTAACGTAACTAGTTACTTTTATCACCCAGTAATAAGTAATATTACTTTTTTAAGTATTAATAAGTAACTAGTAATATTACAACTGAGTAACTTGCCCAACACTGAACACTTTTCAATATAATGCACTCCAGTACATCAGCCACTATGAAATCAGTAATAACAGAATGTATGGCAGTTGTTGTCGTATTTGATTGCATTAGACAGCAGATAGACCTGATAAAATGGACTGAGTGTATATATTAGATTTCCCAAAAGGGACAGAAGAAAGTAACAAGATTACAGTTGTGGTCAAAAGTTTACATACACTTCTAAAGAACATACATGTCACAGATGAGTTTCCAATAATAACTACAACTCTTATTTTTCTGTGATGGAATCATTGGAGTGCATACTTCTTTGTCAGAAAAATTGTTGTGAATTTTGGTACTTTTATGAATTTATTATGGGTCTGCCGAAAATGTGGGTCAAAATCTACTGGGTCATAAATATACATACAGAAATATTAAGATTTGTTTAAATGTCCCATTGTCATTTTTACCTCAATTAGGCTCTTTTGGTAGCCATCCACATGGTTCTGGTTGAATCCTTAACCACTCCTCTTGATAGATTTGGTGCTGTTAAGCTAAATTTGACAAACAGACGTGTTTCTTCAGAATAGTCCACATGTTCCCAAGGGGGTTTTAAGTCAGGTAGGGTTGGGTATTGTTTAAGATTTTACAATACCAGTACCCTTAAAATGATACCGATACCAATAGAGTACTTCATTCGATACCTTGCGTAAAATGTAGGGGTGTAACGATACACCAAATCCACGGTTTGGTTCAGAACTCAATTTTTGAGCCACGGTTCGGTTCATATCACGGTCCACCCCCCCAAAATATAAACCTACTGCTTGCACTAACTTAAGTGTTTTCAACATACACTTTACTTGGGCGGGACATACAGATACAGTTGCACCTGCCAAAAGTATATCTGGTGACCCACTTAAGCATTTTTCAGAGAAACAGAGAGATGTTATCTGGTATTACGTTAACGGACACGCAGGAAATGTAACATTACAGAAGGAACGCACCACTGCAGATGTCATTCACTAACGTTAAGTTTCAGTTTCGACCCACATGCTGCGCACTTGAAAACTGAATCAAGGGTGAGTTTATTAAACACGCCGACTTCATTTACTAGCTGTCTGTCTGTGCCAAACAGGGAGAAACACACGTCTCTGTTGTGTGTACGCCACAGACAGACCGGAGCTGCACTTCCACATTTTAGAGTCTGCCTTTTTCGTTCCGTCAAACATTATGCTATCAATTAACCTTTAGATAATCGATGTGTGAATCAATTCATAATCGGCACTGCGATTTAAAAATAAATTATTTTCCACCCCCCTAGTAAGCAGTCTGTTTAAACAAGTCACTAAACTACACTAAAGAGTCTAAAGACACAAAGAGAAAAACAAAGGCTGCACGTCCAGCCGATCAAGCCAACTACATCTGAAGCAGCAGCAGCTGCAGCCGGAGGCTCTGAGTAAAATCAGCTGCTCGCTGCTGCACCACAAGACTCTTTATTTGATGTGATGGAACGCAGCGATCGATCAGCGACAAGTGATGACAACAGCAAATAAAAATGTACAGAGAAATGTTAAAGATACCAGAAGATGAAACCAACGAAAGCCAAGCTTGTGGTGATAACTTGCATCAGTGACAGACATGCCTGAGACCGCAGCTGAAGGTGAAGGGGCTGTTAAAATCAGCATGGACTGAGCGCGTGCAGGCCTTTTTTATACAGTCTATGATGACATAACTTTTCATCATAAAGTCATCACCAAAATGTATCGTTTCAGTTGCTATATGTATATTTGACTCAGATTTGGTCACATTTTCAGAAGACCTATAATAGATTCATAAAAGAACCAAAAAAAAGAGTTGTGGGCATTATTGGGAACTCAAACTGCCATGAAATACATGTTCTTGTGTATGTAAACTTTTGACCACAACTAGTATTTTGTTTGTTTTTCTTTGAAGAGGATGTTTGGGTCTTGGTACACCCTCCCCCCTCCCCCATTGCTAAATTGTGAACAAATGAAACCTTGCTGTCAAATAAATTACGTTATTATCAAGGTGAAGCCTCTGCCCTCAGGGCTGAGCGTCTCCACATAGACGCACACACAGAGCCAACTTAATGGCCAGCAGAGAGGCCCGCAGGTAAAAACCTTAGTGAGTAAAAAGCCAGTATGTCATCAATACACCTGTTTAACAAGCGCATTGTATTTTGAGAAGCAAACTTTCTGTTGCTCATTCCAAATGTCAATATATCCGATCCCTAAACATACAGTAGCTCTGGTCACTGATGTGTGTTCAAACATTTGTTTGAAAGTGGCACAAGTGTTGCTGTTTAGGCTTTGTGAGCAACAATCAAATCCCAAGTGAATACTCATCAGGGTGCATACACAGATATTTTGGGTTTCTGACTGTTTACTACTCTCTATACATGTCAGAAGAGACGAGTCAACATCAACTTACTATTCTATAATGTTTTCTACCAATTGCAAAACATACCTTTGGGCCAAAAGTATGCGAAGTTCCCTTCCTGCAGAGTCTCCTTTCTTCTTCAACACACTGAGGAGATTGGAAGTGCGTTTGTCAACGAACTTTGAGACAGTGGAACAGTAGTAATCCTCAGAAATTCCACCTAGAAACATATTCCACAAGCACAACATATTATTGGTAGTTGAAGAGCAGCCTTATGCATTTGCTTTTACTTACGAAAGGGAAGAGGATGAAATAAAGTTTTGGAAATTCAGAGAGAAAAAGAGGCACACTTTTGTAATTTGTAGCATTACACTGACCTAAAAGCCATGTCTACTCTTTGATGCCCTTTTTTCCCCCATTTATAATAACAGATAACTTGCACAGTTTTAGGCTTTTAGTGACTCATTAAAGTTCATAAACACTTCAAACCATTGGCTGAATACAAGTCCAAAATATCTGTTTGTTAAAAATTTAAATTACCTGTTTTTACTCATAGAAACACGTAACTTTTGCATTTATTATGCCCAATAAAATAAGCCTGATATCTGAAAGTATAGACAGGAACACAAGAGTAAAATTAATCTCTCCAAACCAAAGAGACTGTTACAAAAGCAGCCTATCAAGAGCTAAGCTTAAGAGCTTAAACACAGACATGTAAAAACAGAGCTTTCTCTATGGACACCACCAGCACAGGCTGCTCAAAATGAAAATTCTACAAAAAGCAGGTACGGGTAAAAAGAACAGGTCCTTACCACTTACAGCTTCCGAAAACGAAGACCACGAGCAACTTGTCAGCCAAAATGAACTCAGAAGAAGCAGTCAAGTGGCTTGCCCCAATTCATAACAAAGGTAATCTAGCAGGTCTAGAACATTATTAACAGAAACCCAATAATTCCCACCACTCCCTTTAACAGGTAGACACCTCAAGCAGAACACAGTATCGGGGTGGTTCGGCCATATGCTTCAATGTCAAAAATGATCTTGCCTAACGTCTTGTTTTCCGTCTGTCACAGTTTCTCCCGTGTGCGGAGTCGCTGCCTGCCTGCCCGCCCGCTAAGTTACCAGCCAGTTTGCTCGCCGTCCGCCAGCTTGCCTGTCCGCCCTGACCACTCTCCAGTACGCCTCGTCAGATTTCCTCTGAGCCTGGACTACCCGCCTGAGACAAGTGCACTGCACTTCATCGGACATAGCCTAAAAAAACGAAACCAACACTGCCAATCAGGCAGACATCTCAGCAAAAAATCCTCATATTAACTTCTGCAGCTCCCAAACAGAGCCAGATTGTGCCGCTAGTTGATGTTATCAGAATATAGATTTGTTTTTCATTTCGTGAGAAGATTGATGTGTGGCGCTTAACACTAACCTACACAGCGCGATTGAGAAGTCAGCAAGCCAGAGAGAAATAGGACCTGTACCGCAGGAACAGGTGAGCAGCCAGCCTCCTGTGTGAGTCCGGCGTGAGTAACAACTTGAGATGACGGCCTCTGTTGTCCGCTGGGTCGGTTCAGTTTGTCATTTGCTAAGTGATCCTAATAAATAAACACACAGGCCTCCACAATCCCTTTATCCCAAACATATTTTCTATCGTCCCCAGGACAACAGGTCACCGTTAGTCTCGAGCCCTGGTTATTAGTTATTTGGCGACTGTAAGAATCATACACAGATTAAAATGTTTGGGTAATTTTCGTTCAGCCTCTATACACTGTTTACCTTTATTTTTTTTTGTGAGATGGAAGGGTTTAGAATTTAGAAAGTTGCGTGGCGCTGCGGAGAGCCTCCAGCTGCAGTAACACATAGATTAGGCTATGCGTAAAATCAGGAGCATCGGACTTCATCCAGCCAGAGGGAATGACCACTGACCGTCCAGTGCACCGGTTCCACTGGCAACCAAACCCATAGTAGGTTTACCGGAGAGGAGGTCGCGGGAGGGACCTGGGCACTGTGGAAGGTCGGTGTTCGTTTTGGATGAAGCCCGACGCAGACAACTGTTGCAAACAACAGTGGCACGTGTACAGCGGCCAGTTAGCTGGAAAACCAGTAGGGATGCAACACCGGTCCTATAGAACAAAACATAGCTGCTTTATTTTCTGTTTTGGTTTTAAAACAGAAAAAACAAATAATGACTTTTTTTTTTTCAATTTGGTTTTGAAACAAAATAATCAAAGAACAAACCATACATGGATTCATCACAAATTTGAGTTTTAGTTTTTGGATTTTGGAGAAAGTTGTTCATGGTCACTAACATTTTAAACACACGTATGAATTCCAAAATTGCCCAAATTTGTTATAATACAATATAAAAAACATTTTTTGCTTCCATTTGTTGTCAGTTGAAGTCATTTGAATGAGGGAAAGACAGTCTAGCAAAGTATTCTGTTTGGGCTGTCAGTGTTTCCCATTAAATAGCAAGACAAGGGTGTCCCGCCACAGTCTAGTTTGTTCCGCCATAGTTTCAAAATTACCTGAAAATATATTAACAATAAAGACTTCTAACGTTGCGTTTCCGCAGCTGATCCCTTCTGCTGTAAGCTTTCTTTTTAGGTAATTAAGGTAACGATTTGAACTGCGTTGAGTGTTTCCACTGACACTCATTTGTGAGAACGCGATCAAGCTGGCCGCTAAATTTGGAGTGCACATGTATTAGAGCCCTTATGGTAAATGCAGCTAAAAGGAGCAGAGAGAGCTGACAGCAGGTTAGAGACTTTATTCTGTAATTTTTTCACTTTACAAAGTGTTACAGTATGAGAATCTTACCTGAAGAGAGGCTATGAAATCTTAATTTTACGCTATTCGAGCACAACATGCCATTTATATAAATTGCGTCTAACTCATAGACTGTATGGTCGGACTTGGTGAATGTAGCGCGAGGATACACATGTGACAAAGTCCGGTTTTCAAAATAAGGTGTTCGCGCATACAGGATGGAAATAAGATTAATTGGATCATATCTACAGGAATTATAAAACATGTTACATGTGTCAATTAAAAGTAAAATAAAATGTTAGGGAAATGACTTACAAATTATTCTTTGATTTAGGGTTGCTGAAAAAACATTAAATAAATTTGTTGACTTTTGCTGTTTCATCACCATTTATATCTATGCAGTGTCTTTATGATCAAATTGATTACTAGGGCCCAAAATTATTAACAAGAAGGTAAAATTCTTCATAGATCTAGCTTCTTTATTTTGCTTTTAAAGTGCACCAAATGAATGTACTTAACTTTAAAATGAACACATTTTTCTTTCGAGGGGAAATATACATCTCAAATGGGGATCTGCAGTGAATGGATGGGACATTGCTGTAAAATGTCAGAAAAATGTATGTATGTAGTGAAAAAGTTGTTGATGCAAATGCACTTTAACGTAGACCTTTTTTGTACATTCAAAACACCATATAATAGGGAACGTGTGCACATAAACTGGAATGTTGCTTGTAATTACCGTCAAATAATGTTTATATAAAGTAAACCCACGTTTTTAAATGGTAAAATTATGTAGAAATATTGGAGAGTTGCTTGTAATTACTGTCAAATAATGTTTATATAAAGTAACCCTCTGTATTTAAATAGTAAAAGTATGTAGAAATATTTGAGAGTTGCTTTTAATTACTGTCAAATAATGTTTATATAAAGCAATAACTGTTAAAATTATGTTTCTGTAACTTAATATCACATGATATTGTTTTTTGTACAGGATAAAACCAATATTTAACAAATTTAAACAAAATTCTGTAAAATAATTTAAGGTTTTTTACTGTAATTTGGCAGTAAGTGGTTTGCAACTTTGCTGCCAGACTTTTTACTGTAATTTTTTTTTTTTTACAGTGTATGAACAATGCTTTATAAATGATGAATTCCTTATTTACTAATACTTAACTAATGCTTTATAGTGTGTAGTCATTATAAAGTGCTACCATCAAATTTACACAAACCCAGTGACTCAAACAATGGGCTAGAAACAGAAGCTACTATAACCTTAAACATGACAATGAAAGAGATTTGGAAGCCTGTGCAGTAGGGCTAGACCGGAATTATTCCTTCACTGGGTTGGTATTCAGTTTTGGGATGTGGAGAGTCGCACAAGTACCTACAGTTCTGTCCCGCACAACGCTACACACACACACACACACACACACACACACACACACACACACACCAGCTTGCACTGCCCTTTCCAGTTTCTCTCTTGCTGTATCGTACAGCGATAGACACTTACAGGCTGCTATCTGTCTGCTTTCGACTTTCATTGTCAGCCGTATGTTTTACTGCCCAAAAAACACAGCTCACGTTTAGAACTTTTTCTCCCACGATTCTGTGGTAACAACCGCAGGTGAGCTGCTTGTGGAGAAGGCCTATAGTACATCTTTCTCTGTTTGCGTCTCTGCAACTGTCACTAGACCGTATGGCGACCGCTCATGGATAAAGTTGGTCTGTTGGACACAGAAAAATAAAATGTCTTGCTCAGCACATAAAATCTGATTGAAATTGAGGATTTTCTGTCTTGGGTTATTTGTTCAGGGTAGCTCATTAATTTAAAAATAAGCTGGGAAAGGCTTAAAAGTGAACATGTACTGTAACACTTACAAAAATAAATGCAAATGGAAATTTGACAATTGAAAGTAGAAGGCTCTATAGTCATCACAAGACAATAATATAATCAAATTTTACTATTATAGTGAAGAGGTCCTAATCTGTATTGACTGCACATTATGTGATAAACATTGTTGCTATGGCAAAGGTAAATTTAAACTCACCTTAGGATCTCTACAGGGCCTCTGCTGTCTTGGCCTTCTGCCTATTACAGCGCAATCAGTTGTGCTGTGTTTCTCTCAAGCAAAATAGAATTGGTTGCATAGGTTGCATTTTCGATATTGCGATGTAATTAAACAAGATTTTCTAATCGCAAAGGCTGCGATTACACTCTGGTCACATGAAACCCAAGAGGAAAGCAGTCTAAGAAAGTTGATGCTTCGTCTGCATGTTACGCTGTACCTTGCCTTCTTGTTGTACAACTTGGTGGTGGTGGGTGAAATCTTCGTGCCATCCGCGCGACCTTGACGGACAGGAAAAATGCACAACAGAAAGACACATGTAGTCATACACACAGCCACCATTCAGCTCAGAAAATATCTGTGAAACGGCGTTTCAAACCAAACTCACAAGTCCAAAACAGGCCCAGTCTGTCCTGAGTTACAGCCTGCTTTCAGCCAGTGTGCTGCTTACCAGCATCACAGGCTGCGGGCGTGGGGAACTCAGGGGTTGTCTGAGAATTCTAAGTCTATTAAACAGAGGCGTCTCTCTGTTTTATTTTCATTGGCCAACTTTTGAATTGAACCTCAAATTGAGTATTTTGTTTGCTTACTTACTGGGATACAGAAAGACTGATTCCTTGGAGATTTGAACTGAGACAAGGACTCATTAATTGGTGGTTGAACTATGGGTTTTGTATTGAGCGCTTACTGTATAACACACTGTGTTGAACTGGTTTTGCTGCATCAAAATGAAAGATTATGTGGCTAAGAATTGAGTTAGCCAATCAAATATATTTTAAACTAGACTAACTGTATAATATTTTGTAATTTAGCTTCTCTCTGAAACAACATTCCCACACCAACACAGACCCTTGTGTTTTTTCTCAACAGTGCCACTTTTGGTCTGAACAGGGATGAGACAGAATTTCAGTCAGGTACTAAACAGGTTAAGAACCATAAAGGAGTCATTCAACCATATCAGCATGACTTAATAACAGCCTTTAACAGAGTCTACAGTGAAAAATGTTTGCACTTAATGCTGCAATAGATCTACAGTTTTCTCGGCTTTTGAATACTGCCAATCATTCTGAAATGTTTAAAAGAAACCTATGAAACTTTTAAATTGATAAATACACATAATCATTATAAAACCTCAGTCACAGCTGGACTAATGCACTTTTCTAAAACAGTACCATATCCCCCCACATCTCAAGTCAGGTTTAAAATATCTTCTTTCATGTTAAGATGTCATCCACTGTGAAATGTTGTTATCTCCAGTTCTAGCAATGTAGTATTTTTTTTAATCCCCAGTATGTCAGATAAGGAAGCCAGCAATTGAAATATGCAAATTGATAACATGCCTTGGATAGCTGTAGTGCCACTCAATACTCTGATCCTGTGAGAGCAAATATAACAATGTAAAGAATTCCCATTAGTCCAGTCAGCAAGATCATCATCTGATTTTTAAAAAGAAATTTGAATATTTTATAATTTATCTGACTCACCAATATCAGAGCTGCTTTTACAAGTCAGGTGATTATGGACAAGATGAAATTCCTTCAGCAGCACTCTCTATAGTCCTTAATGGGCACACAATATATGAGAACCAACTTTTGATTAGTTTACAAAACAAAGGCCATGTAAACACTTCTCACAAACGTGATATGGGCAGAGTTTATTGTTGTTGTTGTTGTTGTTAAGAATACCACCTATAGCAATGTTTCTTTAACATTAGAGTGACAAGAT